GTCCAAAGTTTTGTCTTGTGCGCACTCATTTGGTACTTTAGTCCATCATATAATTTTCAACTTGACTTAGACTTAGGGCTCTCCTTAGACCCCACATCACTTATAATATTCCTCGTACACTTATTACCATACCCAATTGATATCCATAATATTAATAGTCATCGTCTGCACACAAAATAATATAATTAGCACACATCAATTTTTTTAATAGCGCTTAAGTACTTTAAAATTTTTCGGGGTGCTACAATTTTGATCTTCCCCAAAATGACTCCGAGAAAGAAAAAGAGAAGTGTGGAAAGTGAAGCTTCCACAAGGGATCGGCACTTGCCGCCAGCCACCGATTAGTTCACCAGTTCTCGAAAATGTGTTTGTCTGTTTAAAGATGGAGAAATTACACCTAAATTATAGACATTTGCTGACAAACACATACTAAATTTGCCGACTTGGGTGCCTGATTTGGCTCTTATATACCAATGTTTTAAAAGGCTTTTCTGGGATTCGCATTGGGGCTCGTCCTGGGGCGGGGCACTATCTAAACGCCTTGAGACTCATACGTGGGGCTTAGTTCTATGAGGCTTACGCCCCCAAGCGTCCGACGATGCACACTAAACATGCCTAACGCTCAACGCTCAGGACTCGCCCAATAGTTCCTATTCAAATCATGTGTTGAATTCACTAATTTGCATTATTAACTCTCAAAATTCTGTAACAAATGAATGATTAAAGTTCTTTTTATCTATAGAAATATGAAAATTGTGAATAACTCAAATAACAAAATATATTATTGCATATTTACTAATTGAGAACATTGTGAGGGTGAATATCATTTGAATATTTCTTCTAAAAATAGATAATCAAAATTATATCTTTACTTGATAGATCTTCCTGTCTTAGTTCTATGTCTCTCAAAATTATCATACATTTCTTATTTTACTATTTAAAAATAATTTTATATTTACTCATGAAAGAGTAATATTTTAAATTACAGTATTGAAAAATTTATTGTGTATTTACTTTTAAAGAGGTAAAATATGCAGTTTGATAATATTTTTTAAGAAATTATAATTTTTAATGTTTGAAAGTTCAGAGGTTGGAGTTAATTTATATTTTATAGTAACTTTAACAGTATTGTATTATTTATACTTGTAAAACATGCTAAATATTTTATTTTATATGAGTTTTTTTAATTCTTTTTAATTTTCTTGAATTTTAATGCATTATTTATATTTTATTGTGTTATAACGCTATATTATTAATTTATAAATTTAAAAAATTAAAGATTTGTATGGCTTACGCCCCATGTCTCGTATTAAATAAAACGCCCTGTCACACTCGCTTTTTAAAACACTTTATATACCAAACATAAAGGATTTAGCCATAGTCATGGGTTTATTATTATGTTGAAGAAAAGCACCACCATTCTCACTTACTGCTTTGATGTTGAATGTGACTATACTTTAATTTGTCCCCATTCCCCATATTTCTTTTCTTTATAGAAGAGAAATTATGACCATATTGCAAAGTTGAGCTGATAATCATCGCAAGGTTCGTGGATCAAATAAAAAACGTCTATTGAAATATCCTACCTACCAAAACCACCTTCGTTAGACTACCAAATCGGACACGTATTTTTTTCCCTTCTTCTTTGTTTGGACTCTTCTTTCACGTGTTAAGCATAAAAAATAATTAGAAAAGTCGAGTGAAAGATAGACTGATGCCAGCAGTAAGACAAGCAACATACGCCACATGTTACAAGGAGAAACCATAATATTATAATAATAGAAATTATTAGTATATCCAATTAAAATAACATAATAGAAGTGAACATTAGAATCCAAGCGACTTACAACCAATGTAATGAAGACATTGAAATACGATGATACATGGCTTCATCAACACTCTATCAATTCAATAGTTTCTCTATTGAAAATACAAAAGAAAAAAGAAATAAAGGAAATGAAGAGACTTGATAATGGCCTAAATTCACATATCCACCTGTCAACAAAAAGTAAAAAAGGAATTAAAAACCGTTCCTATATTTTATGAATATCAAAATAACGTTTCCTCAAATTGAGGGAATACTCAAGCTGTTGGATATTAATTAGTTGAATATTCCGCCTAACTAAAAAGAAAAAGTTTTTCTTTGTCTGCCCTTTAATTGGGTATGGGGAAAAAGGAAATTTGATAAAAGAAGAACTACCATAAGGAATTAAGGAAGATGATTGGATCACTTGGTTAGGACCCAAACAGCATAGACAATACCAGGCAGCCATCCAAAGAGAGTCAGCAAAACACAGATCCAGAACTCCACCTGTTTTCCCAACACACAAATATACACATTGTATTCAATAAGTAACTGCAAAATTCTCAGACACCATAGGAAATTAATTTGCACCTTCAACATACAATTTTCCTATATATGTTTTTATATCAAAACTAGTAACCATAAAATTAAACTGTAACTCACCCACCCCTTAGCTCTAACCTTCCCCCGAAAAAAAAAAAGGAGAAGAAGATATAGTCTCTGGTTTCTCTATATATGCTCTAAAAAGCTGGTATAAAAGGGGATGCAAACAAACCCAACCAAGCCGAATTTGGGAGTTGTAAAACGATCAGATGCATGTTTTTACCGGGAATATTCAAAGTTTTTATAAGTAATTGTAGTAAATTAAGACTGTTGGTAGGATGTAACAATAATCCAATATAATATTTATATGGTAAATTAAGAGGAGAAAAAAAGGAGGG